GTAATAAAAGTAACATTGTATTTCACTTCACTTTTTAATGAAAGTGATATTATATGGCCTTTTTTTAATTAAAAGTGAAATTACATGTAACTTTTTATTAAAAAGTGATACAATTCACTCAAAAAAGTAATCGAGATTTCGTCACTTTTTTTAGTATTTGTTACCACTTTTTTGAATAATAAACCTATTGATTGATGTTTTGTCATTTTTTTAATTATTTGTCACTTTTTTGAGTTTGTATCACTTTTTTAGTGCGTGTCACTTTTTTTGAATTGTGTCACTTTTTTTATGTTTGTGTAACTTTTTTTTAAGCAACAATTTTTATTAAAAAAAGTGACATTGTGTCACTTTTTTCATTTTACACAGTATTTTTTAGTTCATAAAAACCTTTCATATGATTTTTCAAAACACCCCTAATTTTAAGGGTATTTTTGTAAGTACCCCTATATTAAAACCCTAATTCACTATTCTATCTATCTATCTCTATCTCTCTCTCTCTCTCTCTCCATCACTTCTAGAGCGGCGCCCTCTCCTCCCTCTCTTCTTCCCTTCTCTCCTTCTCTCATCTCTATCTCTCTCTGTCTCCTTGAGAGCGGCGATATAGTGAGCGATCGCTGGCCGACGAAGCCGCTCTCGGGCACTGAGAAGCCGCGCACAGTGACTCTGTACAGATCAACGGTGGTGGTTGTTCGTCATCGCAGCGCGCTGCTTTTCTGTGCTTGATGGCTGTGGTAGTTGTGGTGCTCAAATAACGACCACCTCTACGCTTCACTGTACAGCAGCGCTCGGTAGTCTCTCTGCAGCGTCGTGACGCTGCAGAGAGTCCGTCAACGCTGCCGTTATTCCTTTTTTTTTTGTCATGGTGGTGTTTACGTCGGGATGTGGTGGTGGTGTTGATGTTGGTAGTATTGTGTTGTCGTGCAGATATGTGTGGTGGGTTGGTGGGTTCAGATCTGGTTGGTGGTGTGGTGGTGGTGGTGTCTGTGTGCTGTGGGTACGGTTCTCTTCATCGGTAGTTGAAACATTGATGACGGATTGGTGGTGGTGGTGATAGTGGTGATGTTGTGGATTGTTGGTGATGGTGGTCGCGGCAACGACGACGACAGCGACAGGATGAAGAGTGTTTGTCACAACTATTTGTTTGATTTGTGACCAAGTATTGGTGGTAGATGGGGATCAGGATTGGGTTTTTGGTGTACGTGACCAACTATTTGGTTGTCTGTAAATAACTCTTAAACCGAGAACTTAAAATTTGATAATTTGTGACTAAAAAAATAATTTGTGACCAAAAATTTGAAAATGCGTAACCGATAGATAAATTGTGATATATAAAGTTTTTGATCTGTGACTAATGAAATAAACTGTGACCTATAAATTTTTTGATTTGTGATATCGAAATAATCTGTGATCAATTAATTTGATAATATGTGACTATAAAAAAGTTGTGACATATAATTATGTGTCTATGATCATTAATTATATAATTATGACTTTATTATAATTAATTAATAAAAATATTTTTAATTGATAAATAAATACCTGATTTTTGTATTTTTCAACTTAAAACCTGAAATTTGAATTGGTGGTACTTAACACCTGATTTATGATTTTTTTTTTTTTCCCCAATTATAAATCCGGCTGGATCAAAGCCCATTTTTCATCATTACCTATTGTTAGATTGAACTTGACATCACATCCCAACATAAATGAAAGGGAAATTTATTTGTCAGGCACCTCTAATTAAATTTAGTGCTAAACCAACATCCTTCCTCTAAGGCGTGGAAAAAGAAATAAGAAATTAAATGAAAAGATGTAGGGCCAACAAAAAATTTACTAACCCCCCTAGGGATGTTAATTCGGCTTGTCGATTTAAGCAGCCTACATCTCTTTTCGTAAAAATCTCGAGCCACCTCGACTTGCAACTTGGTAGATCTGAGCCAATGCTCAAATCGAGCCTCATTTTTGGGGATGGCCCTATCAGCATAGCTGGCCAAAATGACCAGTGTCACTAGGGTTGGTCATGGTTCGGTCTTTAGAATCGAACCAAACCTAAATTTTTCAAGTATTTAGTAAATAGAACCGTCGGGTTCAAATTTAATTATAGAACTGTTCGAGTTCGATTCAGTTCACTTCAGTTCGATTCGGGTCTGTTTGGTTTGGTTTTATTCTATTCTCAAGTTCCATACAATAATAATTTTTTTATATTTACAACAACGCTATATTAATTCGACTGAGATATGTTCAATCTTGACCTTACAAAATGACGTAGTTCAATCTCGTGATATCTTTTTCGTCTCTCTTTGTTGAGTTCTTTATAGATTTGATTGTCAAAATCACGGAAAAAGAAAGATAGCAAGTTCACAATAATAGAATGTCAGAAACGACACTACGGTAGAATAAAAGGTTTGGAAAAAACTTAGGTCAATTTGATTAAATTGGGCTTGGCTAGAAATTAGAAATAACAAAATCATATTTTGAGTTTGGACTAAATTAATTTGTTAGCAATTTTATTTAGAAAAAAAGAAAATAGTTTGACTTATTTAAGATAAAAAAATTATGGAGATTTGGTTCTTGATTTTTGATCTAGAACTGAGAACCAAACCAAATTTTCGGTTCAGGTACCCGTACGGGTATTTAACTTTAAAAGAATCGCTCGATTCGGTTCAGTTCGATTTGGGTCTGATTCGATTCGAGAGTTTTGTCAAACCCTACATATCACAGTACAACAGCCTACTTCATGCAACAATCAGTTGCATGCAAAATATTTTAAACAAAAAAAAAAAAATCGAGTAAGGTCCGAGCCAAGCCTCAATTTTTCAGGCAGGAGATATGAATTGTACCATGAATTGATTGCACAATATAATTGAATGAATGGACACGGGTAACTTCTCGGATGAGGAAAATTCACATTTTGTCACTTGAAAGATTAAATTTTGAGTGCTCAGATCTTTCGCAAGTCTACAGCTTATCTCGAGTAAACTTGCATCCATGACTAGTAAGCAACAAGTGTTTTCACCTGTTGCTTAGTGCGTAGTTGTTTTTAAGTAGATCTAACCAACAAAATAACAAATTGACACATAATTTAGAAAGTGTTTTAGCCAACATAATATCTTTGACGATCAAGCCAAAAAAATATCTAGTTTCAAAAAGTCCAGGTCACAAGATTGACATTACTCTTAACCAATTTGAGCAAGTCAACATCCGTTCAACTATCAAAGTCCAATTTCATCTTAATCTTCATAAATGACCTTTGCATTTGGTGATGCACCAGCGCGCTCGAATGTGTTCAACTCCTTCAAAATCCCAAATCCTTTGTCAGCAATATCCTTGGCTTCTGCCAATATTACCATTTCTTTCACCTCTGATGTCTTCTCTAATAAAAGCTTAATAAATGCCATCTCAAGACTTGTTCCACTAATACATCTCAACTTCAGAAACTGAAGTTGATTTAGGAATGCATCGGAATAGTCTTGAGCTTTGAGAAAGTCTGGAGCTTGACTTGCATCAGCAGTTGCACTATGTATACTATAGAACATATGACAAAAATCACTTAGCTAAAACTTTTTGTTTGAATTACAAAACTGAATATTGTAAATTGTACTAGTCATAATATCCGTTACTCACGTTGATTTTCAGTTATGAGAGTTCAATCAATGAATCTAAACCAATATCAAATAACTTGAGGATCTTAAGGTGGATTAAAGAAGCTAAAAGCGTTGTTTGGACCTGACCTGCAGCAAAAGTCTTTAAAACATGATGGCAAAAGCATGATCAAATATAATTAACTTGACTACTTCAAGGGATTATTAATTATAATCAACCAATTCCTCCATGAACGTATAGTCCGTGCACATTTTCTGAATGGAAGGCAGAGAATCAAATAACTCAATGAAGTAATTTTCATATTTCATGATGTTGTAATCTGCATAATCACTACATTCAACAAATTGCACTATTTCCAGAAGTGAGGATTTCTTAATACGAACAGATGCAGGGGGACATGTCAATGCCAAGAGTTTTAGCATAGGAGCATTGATTTCTAAGTAGTCAAATTTGTTTGGGACATGCAACACCAGTTCCTCCAGTAACGGACAGCTAGATATCAAACTTTCTAGTACTTCATGATTAATGGAGACTTCACACAATTCTAGCCTAATCATCCTATTAAATCATTTGAAGCTTGGTGGAGGATTGAAGAGACAAGTTGAAAGATTCAAATGTTTCAATTGCAGACACAAACAGTGAAGAATTCTCAATACTTGATTCTAAGGGTGAATTCTTCAACACCGTTCTTCCATAAGATATACATCAAGTGGTCAATTTCTGAACAACTTCCAAGTTCTGGAATAACGAGGCTCAACTTGGTTATGGGTCCTTGGTGAAGTAAAAGAACCTCGTAAAGGGTCACCACGAACTCATTCTTGCTGATTCTAGGTTTCCCTCTGATTCTTGCCATATTGTATCATCTACTATCAGTTGCGAAAGTTTGACCCATTTGTAACTCCATTGTTTCGGTTAACATTTGTTTGGAAGGTCACTTATCATATTAACAGGTTGCAACATGGAAATTTTCATTCTGTGACATAATCAAAAAATACAATTCTGTAATGACACCTTACAAGAAATAAAAATATCAAAATTACCTTAATTTGCATGCATAGAGAGGATATAAAAAAATTCGATATGAAGTTCACACAACTATTCTTGCATTATTTTAATTATTTACACAATTATTTCAATAGTTGAAAATTTCACTTTTATTTTATATCCGAAATTTACAAAATGGTGCTTAAAGTTTCTTGAGTTTGAGAAAAGCATCCCTCGTCTGTTACAAATTAAAAATACAAAAAAATAGGACATTACATGTGACGGTTCAAACACATGCTCCTCAAGTGTCGAAATTATAAAGTAATATATAAGAAATATTATATGCCACGTCACATTCAGATACCGGCATTTCACTCTAGGATAGGGGACTACGTTATCGGATTAGTCATATGCTGCACTAGTAAATAAACATAGAATTCAATGTTGAAATTGCATATGTATAGCATATTGATTAAAGCATATTGCGAGATGGGGTCGTCTGAAATGGCAATAGAGAAGTTGAGTGAGATGGAGGAGAAGGGGATTGAGGTTATTACCATAATTTTACACGGGGTTGTACAAGAAGAGAAGGAGTGAGGAGGCCGAGAGGTTTTGGGATGATAGAGTAACGAAAAAGGGTTGTGTTCATGATGTTAGGGCGTATAATATGAGGGTTATGCATATTCATGGGAGTGAGGTAGAGGGTGTTAAGAGGTTAATTGACGAAATGAGTAATGCTGGGATAAAACCCAATGATATTAGTTATAACTACTTGATGACGTCCTATTGTAAAAATGATATGATGGATGAAGCAAATAAGGTATATGATGAGTAGGGATCTAAAGGCTGTAATCCAAATAAGGTGTTCCATTTTTGCGAGCATATCTACTTTCATCTTTTTCTTTTACTCTTGATTCTTTTTATTTTCTGAATTGTTTAGATCCCATTCAAGGATAAAACATAAGTGTGAAGAAGTTCTATTTTCCCAGACAGGTTTACTGGAATATTCCTTATTGCCTATGTCATCCCCACTTGATTCAGCAGCATCCAACAATTTGGAACTAAAAGTGAGAGCCATATTTCGACCCCAATCCATAGCTGTTGCTTTGGTTTGCTGTTGTTTGTCTGTCTCCATACCTAGTTAGTGCCTACCTGGCCTTGTGGACATAAATTTATGCGAACAATCTTGAACAATGATCCTAGGAAAGCTACAAACCGCTTGCCGAAGTGGATATCAGAAATTTTTTATTTCATAACGATATAAATTGTGTTGGGAATTAAAGCCTAAGACAAGCATCAATTCACACAGTATAAATATGCCCATAATATCAGATTCTAAACAATAGCAGAATTCCAGCAACTTATACACTATGGCAGTTCAATTATAATCTCAGAAATCAGCATTATCAATAAACAATCTTTCTATTCCAATGGCAATGAAATTATTCCCATAG